TTTTTCATTTCCAACTCAATGGTGTTGGTTATAAGACCATCAGGTACGGTTTAGGTCACTTTCTGGTGGAGGTCAGGTCAAGGTCAGGTCAAGGTCAGGTCAGAAAAGGTCAAATTTCAAAGTTGATATTTTGGCATAAAATGGGTTTTGATTCGATGCAGCTCGTCACGGGGAGTCTAATGGTGGTCTTTGTTGTGCGCTACGAGTTCAAGAATTGCTAAAAAATTGAGTTTAAAAATTTGAAGTCATCAATTTTGAACAGTTTTTTTTCGCTATAACTTGGCCAAAAAAATTCAATTCAAATTTTCGAAATTCAAGTTTTTTTTGGATTTTTTGGCTATTATATTCCAAAAATTATTTTTTGATTTTTGGGGATCAAAATTCAAAATTTTCAAAAATCCGAGATAGCAGTTTTCTAGTGCTCTAAATTCTACACCTTTTATGTTGAAATATTTCTCTGTATCTCTAAAGCTGTAGGCCTGACAGCTCTTCTAGCAAAACCTTCTTTTGGGGTCGAAAATGGCAGAAATGACGTCACTCTGACGTCATTAGCGTCCAACCTATCATAGCCTTTGAAAAATTGGTCACAATGTGCAATAGCTATTCACGGGAGGGTACTGAAAATTTGGTGACGGTCGGCACAGCGGTTCTCGAGATATATCGAAAAAACTAAAGGGGGGCAAAAAAATGCCCCCCCAAACGCCTGGAAGGTTAACCCGCGCCGTGCCGGGGGTGTTTGAACACCCCCCTGCGGTTTTTCGCAGATATCTCAAAAACGGCGGCGCTGAGCGCCGCCGTTTTTAGCACACCTGTTCGTGCATCTTTTTCGCACATGTTGTGAAAATTTCAGACTCAGGTAACCTTAGGTCAGGTCACCAGGTCACGCCAAGTGACCTCACCTCAGAAAAAAATAAGAATGCTCGTCATAGCTACACCGATCAATCGATTGCCTTGACACTTTCAGAGATCGATAAGAGCAACATTATCTATAAAATGTATATCTCGGAATTTTGATATCGGTGACCTAAGGTCAGGTCAATTTTGCGGCCTCTCCATTGTAAATAAGTCAAGGGGAGAAAATTGAAAAGCGTCTGTTTTGCACGAACGCTATTCTAGACACTCTCAAACATCGAGATGTAGGTAAAATTGACACACTGAACCGGAAAATGGCAACTGTGACCCCTCGGTATGTCCCCGAGGTCATCTCAGGTAACGAACAGAATCTTTAAGTTCTTCGCTAATAACTTCTGATATAAATGTGCTAGAGCGCTGAAAACGCCTTAGATGTGTTCGGTTCGACGTTGCGGATCGACTGAAATGCAACATGAACTTTTCCGGTCAGGTCATGGCCTTGACCTGAGGTCAAATTTTCAAGTTGACCTTTTAAGGTCAAATTGTAGTTCATTCGACGCGTATCGACGAGAGGAACACGATGGTGGCAAAAGTAATGTCATGGCTCTTTTGAGTCAAAAATTATTGCCGAAAAAAAAAGCTTTTCGTAAAAACGGCTATATTTGGAGTTTTTGCCCTCTGGAGGCTAAACCGTTTACCTGAGGTCAAATCTGAGAACATTATTCAGAAAGGTCTGTAAAAGGGCTATCGAATGCGCTTTTCCGCGGCGCTGTAGCTCTATCGGTTCCCGAGATAGCCGTTGGCAGTTTCCAAAATGTTGAAATAGTCAACATTTTACATTTGGTGACCTCTGGTGACCTGACATTTCACCTGACCCAAAAAATGACTGAGGTGTTTTCGTCCTTATTTTGGACGTTCTTTCGATTGCCGCTTACCGCGTGTCGCTATGTGGCCCAGGAGCCGAGTTAGAAGGGGGGTGTTCAGACACCCCCCGGCCCGGTGCGGAATCTCAGAGCACCGGCCCCGGCGTGGGTTAACCCGCGCCGGGGTACATTTTTAGAGATACATTTTTCTGTATCTCTAAAGCTGTAGGCCTGACAGCTCTTCCCGCGAAACTTTTTTTGGGTAGAAAATGGCAAAAATGACGTCACTCTGGCGTCATTAGCGGCCAACCTATCATAGCCTTTGGAAAAAAATTTTGGTCACCATGTGCGCTAGCTGCTCCCGGGAGGGTACTGAAAGTTTGGTGACGATCGGCGCAGCGGTTCTCGAGATATATTGAAAAAACTAAAGGGGGCAAAAAATGCCCCCCCCCCCCACCACCACCTGGAAGGCTAGCATATGCTTCTGAAGGCCTCAATCCGGCTTCTAAGGCTTCCTAGCAGAGGTTTGACTCTTTTGAGAGCCCATATCAGAGGTAGAGAGCCCCACGCAGGTGACTGAGGGTCCGTGAGGGCTTACCCTGGCGGAGCAGCGCGGTCGCTGAACCCAGAGCTAGCCGACAGTGCGAACTCGGGTTTCAAACGTTCTGCTCGTCATGAACATCACGAAGTAGCATTATTAAAAACGATAAAGGCACTTTCATTAAGTTTCCTTCATTGTTTCGTTTCCTTCGTATTAGAATGCCATCCCACGTGACACGTCAATTGGGCCCTTTGGATAAGCGAGGAACACTAATGTCCTACGAATGGTGAGACTCCTTCAGACAGGTACGAATGCGACTTTTGTATGACCCCTTAGAGCGGTATTCTATCCCTTCATATGCGTCATAGTATGTGATTCAGCCCGCTCTCAGGGATGTAACCCTGCTGATGGTATGCTTCTACGTCCCTGTCTTCCTGAGCCTGAGCCCGAGCCTGCCCTTCCAGCTGTATCCTGTCCTGTTCTATGACCTGCATTACATACATGTGTTCGCTGTGCTGTCCCCTGTCCTGTGAGGGCGAGTTCACTCAAGGTCGCACGAATACGATTCCTCCGGAATCGGTATCTAATCTACTATGCAGTTTGAAAGAGAACATGCCATTCACTGGTAAATCGAAAAGCGTGATTAAGACCGCTGTCTTCCTCGTCAAAAATTGGAACCTTTTGAGCACTTTTCCGGAAATATAGCATTATCAATAACACCTTTGCTGCATTTATGTTATTTTACTTGCAAAGCTCTTTTTCGGTCGTCTCAACTTGTACGGACATTCCGTACAAGTTTCCGGACCTTCCAAAACTTGTACGGACACTGTCCGTAGTGTCCGTAGTGGTGGCGACGCCCATGGGCCTCTGCTGACCCCAATATTGCTCTAAGACAAAAAATGACCGAAATACTTTCAAACGTACGCATCGAGAGCTATCGACTGCTTTTTACCACGTCTTTCTAGCCCTCTTAGTTTTTGAGTTAGAGGTGGGTGGTAACATATGCCCCCCCCCCCCACTAGGGCGAGGTTGGCTGAGACCGCCACTGGGGCGCGGGTTAACAATACATAACGTCTTCATGACAAATGTACTTAGCCCATAAGTATAACGTTGGTTACGACATATTCGGTTGGAAAGTTTTTAAAACTTCAACCATGTTACGCTGGAGATAGGGGTGCTTTCCGTACAACTTAAACTGTGGTTTTACTGTATTTCTCATTTAATGTCAAGTTTCTTTCAAAATGTTTAAAATTAAAAAAACCTTACCCATGGCATTCATCGTTCAATTCCACATCAGCCTGAGCAAAATAATAATAAAAAAATCAAACGGTTTTCATGGTACATAGATTTTACTAAACCACTGCAGTACTGTCTCAAATAACCTCACCTTACGGTAACTTTGATAGCGATTTGGTGGACCGTTAAACTAACAAATATGACACTCGTTTAGCAGGACGAGACTCGAACGTTCCTTCCGTGGTCGGGCCGGCGAGCTGAGAGTGCCGGGTCTGCGAGTCGATAAGTGTCATTGTGTCATTACACGTATCTGAGAATATTTCTGGCTACATATTGCTCTTTTGGCGTTCAGCTTTCACTAGGACACGAAAAAACATGCCCATGATTTCAAGAATGTCCGAGACAGCCCGTTGAATAAAAAAATATAACGTCTTTACAAAAACGCAGTATAGTTCGTTTCTTTTGTGCATGAAATGACCTTCTGACGAACCATAGGAGGAGAGTCACCAAAACAGATGAGCTTCGGTTGTCAGCCTACCGCCAACAAAGCGGCTCTCACTGCGCCGGCCAGTAGGTCAGCCCCGCCCCATCTCTGAGAGAGAGAGAGAGAGAGAGAGAGAGAGAGAGAGAGAGAGAGAGAGAGAGAGAGAGAGAGAGAGAGAGAGAGAGAGAGAGCCAGAGCCAGAGCCAGAGCCAGAGACAGAGACAGAGCCAGAGACAGGGACAGAGACAGAGACAGAGACAGAGACAGAGACAGAGACAGAGACAGAGACAGAGACAGAGACAGAGACAGAGTCAGAGACAGAGACAGAGACAGAGACAGAGACAGAGACAGAGAGAGACAGAGACAGAGAGAGACAGAGAGAGAGAGAGAGACAGAGAGAGAGACAGAGACAGAGACAGAGACAGAGACAGAGACAGAGACAGAGACAGAGAGAGACAGAGACAGAGAGAGAGACAGAAACAGAGAGAGAGACAGAGAGAGAGACAGAGATAGACAGAGAGAGAGAGAGAGAGAGAGAGAGAGAGAGAGAGAGAGAGAGAGAGAGAGAGAGAGAGAGAGAGAGAGAGAGAGAGAGAGAGAGAGAGAGAGAGAGAGAGAGAGAGAGAGAGAGAGAGACAGAGACAGAGAAAGAGACAGAGAGCTCCTACTCCAACTGTTGCAGTTCCTAGGGAGAGAGAACTGCAACACTTGCGTAGGACTACAACTCTCTTTTTCAGTGGCGGTCACAGAGACCGGAATCCGGGGGGCTCCGAGGTTGGTGAATATATACGATACTCGGGTTTTTCTTTGATAGTGAATATGCTGTGGCAGATAGAACTGTGACGCAGAAAGTTGTCTAGCTGAAAAACAAGGCTGTGCGATACACGCTTTTGATGATACATCTCACCATCAATGAATGGTGCTAGACTTGCCTCTATTACAGTAGAACCTCACATACATTACTTTAGCGGTGACTTGTACGTGTTTCCAGCTGAGTGCGGCGAAGGGCGCCGCGGCCACTCACAGCTCTCGATCTCGACGGTGCAGTTCTGGCTGTCGAGCGGGTAGTAGCGCAGGTCCATCATGCACGCCAGCGTCGTGGTGAAGCGCATGCCGTACGTAATGCTGCCGTCACCGTGCAAACGCACCATCTTGTTCTTCTCAGTGACGTCATGCAGAAAGCTGCAACAGACACCTCCCTCACATTACCTCAGGGGTACACGACACTCTGGGGCAGGGGTAGCCAGTAACATTTGGTAGCATTGGGCCAAATGGGCGCTCAAAAACTAATACCCCATAGGATTCCCATGTTAAATCGACCTTTTTCAAGCGAGCCTCACACGTAACCCAAGAGAGAAAGTGCCAATGTTATTGTGGGGGAGGGTACCCAGCAGGCCATCCCAAATGGGGCCCACATGGGCGGGATGTGGGACATCTGGGCGAATGTGGGCTGGGCTACATCTGGGTATGTCATAGGCGTCCAACTAGGTCCCAGATTAGATTACAGATTACAGATTACAGATTACAGATATATTCAGACAAGGTCCTCTCAATAGTGAGGCTTTTCACATGTCCACGTCATGATAGTGTGATACAAAACGAGGAACAGTGTGCAGCACGCATAATTCCCACACACGCACCCATACATGCTATTGCTCATGTCTGTTGCTTAGACAGCAGCACCTTTCGGGTGTTCGCCCGGTACGACAATGTCCCTGGTTCTACTCCAAGTTCGTTCATACGAGTCACACCTCGGTAGCACAATCTACGTCTTCCCGACTCCGTTTGAATGAAGGGGAGGGTGAGGTAGCTGGCCTGCCTAGTGTTGTGCCGGTGCCGCTGGCTAGCCCGCTGCCCCAGCGTACCTTTGAGGTACTCCGGCTGCTCCGACACAAAGATACGCTCGACAGCACTCACTGTGTGGTATGTTACCAAATCCTTGGCAGTCAACCACTTCAGCTGCTTGATGACAGCCGCCACGCTATCACGTCGTCGCCGACCGGACACAACGCGTGCACAAAAGTTTATAACTTTTTGCAGCCGTCCTAACTGCACCTCACCACACGGGCCGTACACCGACAGACAGTACCGTAGCACAGATACAACCAGGGCTTCAACTATCGGCTTCAGTGCTGACCGCGGTATAACGTGACGAGCGTGCAGTAGCGCTGTCAGCATCCCGGTACATTTCCGCGCCACACCGTCTACATGGGACACAAAGCTAAGGTGACGGTCGATCGTCACTCCTAGATTTTTAACAGTTTCTGACTCTGTAATGGTGGTAGAGCAGAAAGTCAGCGTGACAGGCGGCAAACTGCGAAGCATCGCTGGGGTACCGATCACAAGCATCTGTGTTTTCGCAGCATTAAGTCTCATTCCATTGTGGCAGAACCACTGATACATTCGACCCAGTGCATCCTCCATACGCGCGGTCAACAGATTCAAGTCGCTCTTCTTGCCAGTAACCATCAGCTGGGTGTCATCAGCATACTGGACTACCGTGACGTCATCGGGAACACACAGACACAGATCGTTTGAGTACAGCATGTACGGCTCTCCAGTAAAAGTCTTGTTGGTTTTGCTTTTTCGGACATATCTGGTCCTATATAATGTTTAAATGCAGAAGTATCAACCCGGATTATGTGTATGCACATTTACCACGAGACTGTGAAATTTCATCGTTGTATGCCAAATACTTTCCGAGATATCCACCAAAAACCTCATTTTCTGCCGTTTGGGGTATTCTGGCCGCAATCTTCCTGGGATCGCCTATGACATCCATGGTGCCACCTAGCGAGAGGGACGCGGAAACACAGAATCATGAATGAATCGAGCGCGTGGTAAACGGTGTATGGAAGGGAGACTCGGCAGAGGCTATCCGGGTGGCCGGCGCGCGGCGCGCCCTTAGGCATCGGCCGACCCTTCGGACCGCGTGGGGTCAGAGGTCGCGCTCGGGAAGTCTCGGCTCTGGGTTTTAGCGCTGTGCAGTCAGGAAGGGAGGGGAGGATAGCGCTAGCCCGACTGACTAGTATCTCGGCTGATTCGTGTGGGGTGGAACGGATCACAGAACGGGATGGTGGCTAGTGGTGGATGATGGGATGGTGGTTAGGTTAGTGCGTACTGCGTAGAACGTAGCTGAACATGCTTTTTTCATGGCAAACAACATGCAGCATAATGTGCGGGATTATGCCAGAACTCATACAAAAAGGAACTAACCCGCGCCCTGATGGGGGGGCATTTTGGCCCCCCCTGTGGTTTTTATTAAATAGCGAGAAAACGGCGGCGCTGCGCGCCGCCAAATTTTGGGTACCTTACCGGGCATCAATTTGACACCTTCATACAAAATTTCAAGTCACAGGTCACCTCAGGTCAGGAGTTATTGAGGTCAAACTGAGGTCATGTTCGAGTAAAAATGAGCAAAAAACATGACATCTTGAAACGCTCACCAATTCTACAGTTAACAAGCAATTTTAAAGTTCTTTATGTGGTTGTGTAGAGAAAAGACGGCGCTACAAAACTGCTATCTCGGATTTTCAAAATTTTGGAATTTTGACCCCCAAAAATCAAAAAAAATGATTTTTTTAGAAAAACTCAAAATTCCAAAAAAAAATTCGAATTTCGAAAAAAAACCGGAATATATGTGATAGTCCCTGCGCTCTTCGATATACATACCAAATTTTAGATCGATACCTCTTTTTTTGGCCAAGTTATAGCGAAAAAACTGTTAAAAATTGATGAGGTCAAATTTTTGAACTCAATTTTTAGCAATTCTAGACCTCGTAGCGCAAAACGGAGACCACCATTGAACTCCCCGTGACGAGCTGCATCGAATCGATACCCATTTTATGCAAAAAAATCAACTTTGAAATTTGACCTAATTTGACCTGACCTTGACCTGACCTTGACCAAAACGTGACCTAAGCTGGCCCTAAAGTCTGTCTGACCCACATAATCGCATTTGTCATGTAAAATGGACCATAAAACATGTATCACACGACACTTTCATATTGTGACCCCCCAGTGACCTGACCTCTGTGACCTGACCTGGTATCAGTGACCTCAAATAGCAAAATATGTGTTTGAAGAACAACTCCCCATCGATGATTTTCAATGAAATGCATTTTACTCGATTTTACAACGCATTTCTTGAAATGCCTGTAAACGGTGAAAATTCGACCTTTGACCTGACCTGTGACGTCATCGGTTTGACCGAGGTCAATGAAATTGGGTCACAAGGTAGTTCCCCGTTGGGGCTATCCAATAACGTTTACCGCTTGTCGCTATGTTGCGTGGTTCTCAAGATCTGAGGGGGGGGCCAAAATGCCCCCCCCCCCCATCAGACCGCGTTGCTCGGCAGAACCCATCTGGGCGCGGGCTAATATTTCGGGCGAGGGAGTGGATGAGTGCTGTGACAAAGCATGACGATGCTGCCAAAATCGGGATGCTTGTTTGCTCCCATTTTTTTTTTATTAAGTTTTAACCCTAACATGCAGCGCTTGATCCGAACTTAGAGGTCCCCGACTGACCTTGGACCTTAAAATTGCACCCGTCCGGTGCGCCACCTTTTCTTCAGGGGCGCTCTTCTTGGTTGTATCTGTTCTTACCAATAACTAAAGCAAATCGAATGTATAATAAAAAAGGCATACCTCAAACACAGTTTAATTCACATCCGCTCGTGTGCATGCTTGTTTTTACCTATACCCTCTCGCATCATAATATATCACTTCAGTGCTTAACCTTCAACGGAATTTTGGGTTTTCTGCATATACCCCGGCCGAGGGGGGGGGGGGGGGGCGATTACGACCCCTCTCCGTCTTTTTGCCCCTAATTGAGCTAGCGCCTTGCGGATAAAACTGATAAAACTGAGCGCGTGCGTCGTGTGAGATGCAGGCGCAGCAACTGATACCCGAGTTGAATGTCTCGGAGTCGGGTCCACCGATAAACTCTGAGGTCAGTAATCAGTATAAGTGCTCCAAGTCGCGGGATCGGTTTTTGGTAAACAACTTCACCTTAAGTGGTTACAGAGCCAAGAGTTTTGCATGCTCAAACGCGTCGAATAGTTTACGCTTTGTTTTTGTTGAGGTCAATTTAAGGTGTTTACCTCAGGTCATGTCAGGGCAGAGCCACTCAGGCCACGAGGCTGACTCAAGGAGGTCATATCGCTTCTTCGATGCGGTAGGTCCTTAAAAGTCCACTGGTGGCTTCCCGACTCGCTAGCTCAATTTGATCGGGACTTTTTGGTGAAATCTCCTGTGACCTTAGTGACGTCATAAATGAAGTCGCCTAACTTTAAGAATGGAAAAGTGAATGCTGGGGCTTGCAAAAATTGTATAAAATCGCAAATTCATGCGCTTGAGACAGCTTTAGATGGCTCCCGGCGCCAAAATAACAGTTTTCATATTTCCCAATTGATTAATAATCGTGAGGTTGCGTGACCTCAGGTGACTTCAGGTGACTCTTAAGAAAAATACGAGATAGCTACATACAAGTTGTGAGGCCTCTGGGAGATAGTACTAGATCATATAAGCTTCATTCCCCGTTGAAAAATCCCCTGGCACGAAGGGTGCTGCGACGTCGCGACATTTTGGGGCCTTACAGAGGCTCACTTTTGACGCCATTGGTCAACGGCCTGACCTTAACCTTCGCACTTGTAGGAGGGTGTCGAACAGACCTCCTACCCTCAGTTTTTCGCAAATAACTCGCGCAAAAAGCGGCTGATTGCGGCGAAACTTTCAGTACCCTCGAGTTATTCAATATTACGCCTACCCTATAATTTGCATGACCCTGACTCAAAAGACCTTTGACTTGTGACCTGTTTTCCGAGACCATGTTTGGCCGGAATCGCGTTTTGGCGTATTTCGAGTAGAACGCGTTTTATTGTCTTTTTGTGGCTTTAAGCGATCAAACATGTGAAAGGATGTTGATCGCATGGATTCTAGTGGGTATCAAGTCACGTGAAGATCAGTCAGGTCACTGACCTTTGATGACCTTTGTTCACTCTTTCGAGTTCTACATGTTTCTAGGGTAGATTTTGGAGTTGATTTCGCATTTAGAAACCGTTTGAACATTTAAGAAGTAGTTTTGGTTCACTCTTAACATGTGACCTGACCTGACCTGACCCGACCTGGCCTAAATGCCCGAAAACATCATCTGTGATCAAAACTAACTTGAATTTCGTGATC